GACCGCTAATTTTTTAACAGAAAAAGATGAGTTTGAAACATATGAATAGTCGACTAATCATATTATAACTTTTAATCGTTTGAGAACTCAACAAAGCAATATCTTATAATCAATAAACAATTTATGTATTTTAATTTTTTGGGAGGGATTTGTGTTTTAACCTATCACTTTCCTTACGTTGAAACATATATGTCCATGTTAATTTCTCGTCTATAAAGATGCTGATTAATGCTTTATTCAACACATACTTTTCAAATGTCGGATATGCACTATATAATTATGCCCACTTTAAAAAGAAGTCCATACATTCAGATTGATGCTGGAATATGGGTTAGATCCAATTACTCTAATGAAAAATGAAGAAAAAAATGGGAAAAGACAACAGAAGTCATACCCATTTGCTTATGTCCTTGGAGTACTGCATAACAAATATTTTTGTTGTCATTTTGTGCCCACCCCTGGGCATGATGGTTTGATCTTCGGCGGTTCAACCACGAACCAGACCATGGGATTGGATTGTTTAGTGACCTGCTAAATTAATTAATCTAATTTCTTTGGTTTTCTGTTTTTCTTTTCTCTCGTACAAAAGAGTCCGAAACCTTGAATTAAGATATATAGAGAAGAAAAGGGATTTTTGTGGCTGCTTAATAATGTTCACATGGAAGACTGGTTTCTTTGATCTAAGTCGAGGCGGATATAGAATTATTTTTTAGAAAATGTAAATTTAATATTTTATATTAAAAATTTAAAAGATATAATATTATAAATTTTCAAAAAATATATAGATATAAAAATATAGTCATTAAAAAATTATAGATAAATTTATAATTTTTAGGGACTATACTTCCGTTGATTCATCCCTTCAACTACATACGGACAGTTTCTATTGGCTGCCAGCATTAAATTCTCTGAAGAAAAAGTTAACCTAGGATGTGTAATTGTCGTGTTTCTGGCATCTTCTTCTATCATCAAATTGAAAAATAGGGTAAAGTAAACGAAAATCTTGAGAAATCGAAATTTATTTCTATCCGTAACGTTTGAATAATTTATGAAGAAAAAAAATTAATATTCGTATCCAAATTTGCCTAACATGAGAAGAGATTATTATTCTCGTCTCCTCCACTAACAAGACAAGGATGAAGATTCTGCTAATAAGGTAGTATGGATAGTTTTAGGAAGCTTAAACAAAAGGGAAAGTTAAATGTTAAAAATTAAATTCATGGATCCTGAAAACCATTTTTTTCAGAGAATGGTTCGGAACTACAAATTGCAGCATCTGCAACATATAATATGTGTTTATTAATCATAATTGCAGCATCTGCAACATATAATATGTGTTTATTAATCATAATTGCAGCATCTGCAAGATATAACATGTGTTTCATAATTGTTTGAGACGACATCAATCATGATGGCTTGCAATGAATGATGGGGCCTGTGAAGAGTTTCCGGTATTGTGGTCCAAGCACTAGGTAGTAGTAGGCATGTAAACGAACCGAACGCACACGAATAGAGGTATGTTCATATTCGTTCATTTAAACATAAACGAACACGAACATAAATGAAATTTTTTTTTGTTCATGTTCGTTCATTAAGGAATATAGCTTGTTCATGTTCGTTCATTTAATAAATAAACGAACATAAATGAACACAAACATAAACGTTGGAGACCCCACCTTCCATTGTTCTTTCATGAAAAATAGTCGACAATGCAAATCAACCAAATCTACAGTGATAAATAGCGTAAGAGCTGATTAGCAGTGATGAAATGTTTTAAGATATTATATATTTCGATCGATCTTTTAAATATATTAAATGATTCACAAAACTTTAATTTAACACTATAACATTTATCTTAGTGGTTCATGATCACATATGAACAATCATTTTCCACTACGTTATTCTAATAAATTCGCCGGCTAAAAGTTTTGTTACATCCATGTCAGACTTTAGTGAGATTTGTTAATAATGGTACTTTCCATTGGCATAATAGAAAATTTAATAGCATGAAGATTTCGAACGGTACAAATTGGACTATAAGGCAATAACATAGATCCGAAATCCCTCCGATGCTACATATCTAACTGATATTATTGCTAAACCACCATTCAAAATTTCAACGTACCTAAAGTCTACTCCACAACTAAAAGTCACACAAGAACTATGAAAACAAAAATTCATTGTCAAAGTGTATTTTCTACTTATTAATGGGTTTTTCCTGGAAAACCCATTACTTCTGCTATTACACTCTTTTTTAGAAATTGCTTAGAAACATTTGTTTTGTTTTCTGGAAAATTCTATATATTTTCCTCTTTACTGATGCTCATATACTTCCGATTGTTACCTTTATCTTCCTATCTATTTCTAGAAAGAAGTATGATGTTTTCTTGAGTTTTAGATGTGAAGATACCCACAATAACTTTACATATCAACTATTAAGCCAAATAAAACAGAAAAAGAGATGAAAATAGATCTGTAAAACTTCAGATTGCACTATAATGTAACTTGTTTTGAAGCTTTCACTGATCGTCTCTACTCTTCAGTGAACACTAGGGTTTGGAAAAAAGGGGAAAATGAATATAGGTGCGAGGTGCCTCACGGGTTAACATATTGGATTTAATCTCCAAATAAAATTGGGTTAATTATGGAGTTGGTCATCAGAATATCAGATTAATTAATATTTTTAAGATACTTACAAATTGATCACCAAAATTGATTTAAGAAGATTGAGTTAAACATAAATGAACGAACATAAACGAACATAAACGAACATAACTGAATGAACATAAACGAACATAACCGAACGTTCACGAACGTAAATGAACGAACGAGACCTATGTTCGTGTTCGTTCATTTAATTAAACGAACACAAAATCTTGTTCATGTTCGTTCATTTAATAAATAAACGCACATAAACGAACTTCCCGCCGTACGGTTCATGAACAGTTCACTGAACGTTCAGTTCATTTACAGACCTAGGTAGTAATAGATCTTAACTAGAGATTTTTGTTTTCCAACCTTCTTGTTTTGACAACTTTATGTTTTTCCCGATTCTTCACAACAATCAGAAACCCACAGAATTAAATATTTTATATCGTTTGCTATATATAATTCTATATAAATTATAAGGTAAACTACACTATATACCACCAAATGTTTTGCATTATATTATTTATATCATTAAACTTTTAATTCTATCAATTATAGCACTGAACTTTAATTTTCTTTTCAATTATATTGTTAGGACGTTAAATCTTAACAGTTAGATCAAAACGACGTCGTTTTGATGAGGTGTCTACATTGACAGACGTTAACCATGTCGGCAACAGTCAGCCACGTCACGACGCCGTTAATGATTTAACTATTCAATGATATAATTGAAGCGAAAATCAAAGTTTAATGCTATAACTGAAAAAAATTTAAAGTTTAGTAATATGAATGATACTAACGCCTAAAGTTCGGTGGTATCTAATGCAATTTACCCTAATTATAAAATGATAATATTATAAAAAAAATTAATTTATAATATATTCTTATTTAATTTACTAATGAAATATGAAATTATACATTATAATACATCACACATTCTCCTTAAAATAAATACAAATAACTAGAATTTCAACATAAATCCGCACTAATATTTGTTTTTTTTATCTGTTTCAAATATTTAAATTACACCTCCAATTGGGTTGAAATGCCACCTTTATCCCTAAAATTCCTTCATCATGCAAAGCGCCAAAGCTTGATGTCAGAAAAGCAAATGTATTATAATTTTAATTATCAAAACTAATTCTATATCATATTTAAATTATTATTTACATCATTGTCAATGCTATTTCCCAGTATTACCATCAGCGGCCTCAACTCGAGGGTAAAATTGACCCAATAAACTAAGTGGCTAAAAAAATAGCCTATTAGGCAAACATGAATTTTATTTTGTAATCTACAACATATGATATAGTGGAGTATAAATTTGTCACGATCAAATAATGAATTTTTATAAATAATATTTTTTATTTAGATTTGTCATATTTATGTGATGAATTCTAATAAAATATAACTTTTATTAGATTTTTTCACGTCATAATGATAAATTCTAATAAAAAAATATATTTTATTAAAATTTATCACATCAATATGATAAGTTTTAAATCTTATAAGAAATATAATGGATCTCAAATTAATTTTAAAAATGATGGACTAATTTTTTTAACCCGCGTGACCTATTAGCCAAATTTGCCTCTCAAGAAGTGCATTCCAAAATCACTTTATATTTTAGGGTAAACTACACACAAAGTCCCTTATTTGTAAATTCAATAATAGATATACTATTATTCTAAAAATTATAAATAAATTATTTAATTAAAATATTATTATAAAAAGGTAATTATATCTTGAAATATTCGATAGAATACTAAATAGGTATAATATAATAATAGTTTAGTCCTTAAATTTTATATAATTTATTAATTTAATCTTAAGCTAAAATAATTCAATAAGTTTAACTCTTCATATTAATTTTTTTTATCATTTAGTCTTTACTCTTTACATAAATTATCTTGTTCTTCTTCGAGAAATATTATAGTTATTTTCTCGTTACTTTTAAGTATAATAATGATTTATCAATAATCTGTTACTTTATGACATAAAGTTATGATCTAACTACTATTTTGATTCTATAGACTTATTTAGTTTGATTGTATAAAAAAAGATTAAATTGATGAAATTTAAAATATAAATAGTTAAATTTATTGAATTAAGATAAAATAGATAGAATATATAAACTTCAGAAATATCTTTATTATTATAGTTGAGTGACTTATTTATAATTCTTAGAAAAACATTGACATGTTAGTTACCAAACCCATAATTAAGGACCTTGGGTGTAGTTTATTATATATTATTCATATTTTTAATTACTAATTAACACATTTTTTAAATTTCTCCTTTTTCTTCTATATATTGCCTTCTCAGAGCTCTGAAAAGCCTCTTCTATTTCTGCCATCTTCCCCCTTAGAGAGTTCTATTGTGTTTCTTGTACATCTGAGCTTTTGCTATATTTTCCTTAGCTTCTTTCTCTGTTCTTTTCATATCCTTTTGCTGGGTTTCTTTGCCCTTCTATGGTGGGTTTTGGTTGCTAAACTTTGAATTCTGGAGTCTATAACAAAAACTCATAGTTTAAAAACCTTTTTTTTGGGGGTAAGATTTGCTGTTGTTGATGACATTTTCCTTGCCAATAAAAGTTTTTCTTTTTCTTGTTTCTTTCTTCCAGTAAATCTTGATGCTGCACAAGTTTGGTTGTTGATGTTCGAGATTCATGTCTCCGGTTGTCAGTGAAATCCTCCGATCAGGGTTTATGATAAACTCCTCCCTCAGACGCAGGACCCATCTCGTTCAATCTTTCTCTGTTGTTTTCCTCTACTGGTTCTATGTTTTCTCGGAAATAATTCTCTCGCTTTCTAGTTTAGCTTTAAAAAAAACTTAATCAGCATTAGGGTCCTATATCGTCTTCTTCGAGGTTAGATTTATCCAGAATAAATAGAATAAATCCACATGGCTTCCTCCTGTGGAAAATCCATCACCAATTCTTCAGCTTCATCTCCGCAGCAGCAGAATTCAGGGTCCGATCACCAAAGAAAACGGAGGAGAATGGAATCGAACCGGGAATCAGCGAGGAGATCGAGGGTGAGAAAACAAAAGCACTTGGATGATTTAGTGGCTCAAATAACAGAGCTGAAAAGTGATAATAACCAAATCCAGAGCAGCATCGGCTTCACCACCCAGCACTACATGAACATGGAGGCCCAGAACTCGGTCTTGAGGGCTCAGATGATGGAACTGAGTCAAAGACTCGAGTCGCTAAACGAGATCCTCGACCGTATCAACAGCCCCACTGCATGCAATGGGGTATATGAAGCAGAGGCCATTGAATTCAACCCTTTCAGTTTGCCTTGCCTTAACCAACAAGGATGCTTTTACTATGGTTAAGAATTACTACTTATATTATATTATTATCAATAATTAGTTGCCATTTACCCTGTTTGCTGTCTTTTTCATCCTTGCAAATGTCATCTTTTATTATGGTGCCTTTTGTAGTTGGTCAAAAGTGGGAAATAATTGATGGTAGACAACAGGGTAAATTCATTGTATTTATCACACAAAATTAATATGGTATCAACCTATAATACGATATTGAGCATACCAGTCATAATCATTGTAACACTCACATACAGGGTAATCTGATCCTATTTAAGGTGTTATATTAGGGTCACCAGAGTGACTTATCGTAAAAATCTCAAAAAATTTAAAATTTTTGTTAAAACGTGTAAAATCATAAAACAATTTATAAACAAAACAGTAAAATTTAACTATATTCAGAAATAAAACACATTTCAGACTCGGATATAAAAATAAAATACAGGCTACATGTCTCTTAATCACATGCACCGTACTTCGCAAGTAACGCCGGTGGGACTCCCTTACCGATATCGATAGTTGCACTGGTTCAATCATTTTAACCTGAAAAGGTGAGTAACAGAGTGAGCTTTGGAAAGCTTAGTAATACATAACTACCAAATGATGCTGAAGAACATGCAAATAACATATAAGCATATGTTTCCTTATTGATTCAGACATCACCAAACTTTTATGCTGAGCTGAGGTACCACTGATATCTCAGATAGTAAAAGGCAATAACCTTCCAGTTATGAGGAAATGTTTCGGATGACTCGGTCCAACAACGACTAAACCTGCCAGAGTCTTCAGTCATACCAGAGTCCCAGAGTACCCTATATAAACATAATTTCAGTCAGTAAACAGAGATATCGGAAATTAGAGCAGAGATCAGATAGCAAAACAAAAATTAGAGAAAACATTCGTGTGATCAGAGAACACACTAGAGGTTCCAAATATTATTCGGAGGTGATTGGTATTTATCAGATAGGGAGTTATAAAACTTCTGTAAACTGATTTATTCAAAAATTAGATTCCCATAATAGGGTTTGATAGCTGACAAATTCATCAGTTATTAAGAACGTGATTTATCAGGATCATAAACTATTTGGATATTTTTCGGATGCACTATGTAATTAGAAAGGTATTCAAAATCATGTGCAACAGAGTTACTTTTGTTTTCATGTATGACATGAGTGTTTCCCTTATTAATAAATTCAAAGACATTTTGGGCATTAGGTTTTTGGAGAATTTTTAATGATTCTAGCTAATAAGGGAGAAACAAATATTCAGGGCATTTACGATTTGTGTCGATCTATCGAAATATCGAGTTAACTCGAGCTGTACAAGTCTTAGCAATGATACCTGTCAACCGGTCAAATCGTTGCACTTCAAGCGTATTCACTCTTTAATACAAACAACTTTTGTCCATTGAACATCTACAGAATCATTGCTGAATAGGTCTTAAGGAGACGAACAAATATTCCAATGGTCTTTATTTCATTTCTACATTGCAACGATATCAAGAAATGTCGACATGCTTGATTCGTGGTTTATAACCCTTAGGGATGATACATCATGTAAGTTCATCAGCGTTTTCAGACTTATCCAAGTCATTCACTTAATCCGAAGTCATTGAGGTTACTTTGGTCATTTAGTAGTCAAGTCTATCCCAGTCACTTCGGAGTTTCCAGAGTAATTCTATCATTTCAGAAATTTGAATACATACATTACTTCCATTTCGTTTATCTTGGTCATATAATATAGTCATATTGGTCTACAAGGTTGATTTGTTCATTTCAGAGCTGAGGGTACTTAGTTATTCCAAAACTTAGACGTGCTTCGAATCATATTACACTTCAGGGGCATTCCAACTAAATTAGGAATTTAATCGGTGATTCCAGGATTCAAGTGGATCATAATTTAAGTTCTCAAGTCGTCTCCATTATCATATTCATCTATAATCCTTGTTAGTCTTTAAGGGTATCATAGTCATTTCATTTAATTATATCAGTGGCATTACTTTAGATAACTTAGGCTTGAAAGTATTTTAGTTCCTTTAGAGTTCAGAGTACTCTGCTCATTTGATCACTGGAGGTTAATTTCACTACTAGGGAAAGTCTTAGTCCTTTTTCAGTACAAGGACATTTTTCGTAATTTATCCCATTGTGCTATTTTTGGTAATTTCTTATCCAAATATTCCCAACATTTAACCTTTATGAGATTAATCAGAATTTACGCTTTCTGAAACTGATTGATTTACTGATTAAGTCATTGAATTGATATTTGTTTCTGACCAGTCTACCAAATTCGTTTTCGAGCATTTAGAGTTTTATACAGTGTTCCGTCTTTATTCCAATTTTCTTCTGAGTCAAATGATAGTTAACTACACCTAATGGACCAATCTTTTACATTCATGCACTTACCATTTATCAGTGAGTTTCGAAAAACATTCAAAAGGTAGTAGAGTATTACCTCGATTTTCATGCCATGTTGATCGACCATTTAAACTCCATTCGATCGTCCTCAAACTTTAATTCCACGTCCCATTATGTCTCAGATACATAGCAACCAAATTTGCATCAGAAACTGAACTTAATTGAGAAACCAACTTGAATCCGAAGATAAAACATTGAAAAACGGGTTACCGAGTGCGAATTTTGATAAACAAACTTCGGATTCGGACTTAGGATATTGAAAAACATAAAATAGGGCTTTTCAGAAAATTTAACTTTTTTTGTCAAAGTCAACGGTCAATGGGTTGACTCGGTCAAAGTTAACGAGTTGACTCGGTGAGTTGACCTAATCGAGTTGACTCGGTGAGTTGACCCAATCAAGTTGACTCAGTGACTGGACTAGACCAGGCGGGTCAATCTGGTTCTGGAAAATTCCCTAGACCAAAACAAGCCCCACACGCGAGTGACGGCGTGTGACAGCGATGACGGGCTCAGGGCAGATGGTCGGACACTCCCTGTTCAAGCACTCACTCTAATCAACCAAAAACATATTAATATTCAGCTAAAAACGATGTAAAATAATTTGAATCGATGAACTGATCTACCTTCAACGTCAGACGACAATGAAATCGATGGTGAGTGACGGTTCTAACTGGGTTTTGGTCGGAAGAACACTAGAAACTCTATGGGACAGGTGGTGTGATGAACCGACGATCATTTTTGTCGGAATCAACCAAAACAGTAGGCTACGCTAAGGTTGTCCTATGAAGCTTTAAGCATTTTTCTCCGGTGAATGGTGGGGCCAGCTAGAACGAGGACGGTCAGGTTGTGGGATGGCGAGTCGATTGGTGGCGCCGGTACGACTTCCGGTTGCCTGTAGCAGCCATAATCGGAGAGGGGAAATAGTCAAACCTTCTCGGAGCTTTAAAACGACGATTAGTTGTGGCTTACGATGAATGAACAGAGGGCTTTTGGTCACCAGTCGATGGGGAGTCGAATGGGAGTAGCAGTGGTCCAAGCGGTGGCTGGACGACGAGGGTTTAGGGAGGTCGGTGAGGCTTTAGTTGGGGGAGGGTTTTAGGGATTTGATTTTCTGATAAAATTGGAACATTTGTTTTTTTATTTTTCCCTATCTATACAAAATGGGAAAATTTAGGGTGAAGTCCCTGAACTTTCCAAAACTTTAAAACCAAGCTAAAAGTTTCTAAAACTTTCAATTTAGTCGCTTAAATTTGCTTAAATTAATAAAATTTATCCCCTAAATTGGGGTATGAAAACTTTCCACTCCTTAAAAGAATTTCATCCTCGAAATTCACTCGTCACAGAAATTTAGAAATGAAGCTTCCATCAGATCTTCAATATCATCAGGTTGATTTTACAGAAGTACGAGTCCTCTACTAATCCTTAACCAGTTGAATGTACATTCTCGTCAAAACTCTCTCTTATTCTCGATAAAAAAATCTGAACGAAATTATCCTTATAGAATCAATTCGACCTTGGCTACGAGGTTAGGTTCATAGAGCGATAACATATCCCAATTTCATTTATGGAGTCGGGTTAGAATTTATCGGATGAGTAACTTTCATATTACTCGTGAGATACTTTACATAATTTGGACAAACATTACTGATATTCCTTTATGCTTAGGTCGAGCCATAACATATAGAAAACTTAGGTTAGATCGTTACAGAAAAGGACTCGACCTTGGAGTTCTGGCTTAGAGAAGTACGATTGTAGTCTAGGGGCATGAACTTATCAACCATCCTATGACATTCGACTCGCTGGTCTACCCAGAAAATTTGACTAAACCTAAGCTCTAATACCATTAAATGTAACACCCACAGACTGATACGGGTAACCCGATCCGATCCAAGATATCACATTAGGGCCACCGAAGCGACCCACCGTAAAAATCCTAAAAAAATTAATTTTTTTGTTAAAATGTGTAAAATCATAAAATGATTTATAAACACAATAATAAAATTTAACAATATTAAAAAATAAAACATATTCCAGACTCGGATATAAAAACAAAATATAAGCTACATGCCCCCTAATCACATGCACCATACTCCGCAAGCAACGCCTATGGGACTCCCTTACTGATGTCGATAGTTACACTGGTTCAATCTTTTTAACCTAAAAAGGTGAGTAACATAGTGAGCTTTGGAAAGCTCAGTAATACAGAACTGACAAATGATGTTGAAGAACATGCAAATAATAGATAAACATATGTTTCCTTATTGATTTATACATCTACAGACTTTTATGATGAGTTGAGGTCCCACTGATATCTCAGATAGTAAAAGACAGTAAGCTTCTAGTTCAGAGGAAATGTTTCGGATGATTGGGTTCAGGAGATTAGAATAGGGTGTCTAATGTTTTCCCACAAAACCAGTGAAAATGTACAGATCTTTTTAGAACTGTAGCAGTTTAAAACATATTTTTCAAAACTATAGTAAAACCCTCCAACCGAACGCCATATGTAGTTCCCTAGAACTACATAACCTAAGGGAGCACCTTGAGGCCTGAAAGCCTACCCAAGAAAGATTCTCTGGGGCCAGGGGCCTACCCAAGAAAAATCTCAGGCCACAGGGCCTACCCAAGAAAGATATCAGGGCCACAGGG